AGCCAATTTGGTTCGTAATAATAATAATAATAAAAATAAAAAGCTTACCTTGATGTAAAATTGAGAAGATCATTAGGCTAAAACAAAACATTCTCTAATTTTCTTTCCCCCCATTCCTCAAGGTTTCCTCCCATTCATCAAAATTTCCATTTTTTCTAATTTCTTAAAAACATTTCGAAGATTAATGTTTTACAGTTAAACCCATAATTTGTTTTTGATTTGTTTTTTGTCTTTGCCAAAGGGTTCAAATCTGGGATGATGTAAGAAATACAATTGTTTTAAAAATTGTTTTTTTTCTAAACAGGTGCTTTCATATTTTGACCCAGAGAGAAAATATCGGCAAATGATTAACAATACTACTTAAAACATTGTGGAATATGAAGACGATAATTCAGCAATTTTATGTTTATTCGATGTTGTTATGAAGCAAATTGTTTATCATTAATTTGAAAATAAACTTTAATCTGTGGTTCATTCAATAAAAACTTAAGCATAACAGGTGTCTTTCTATTCCACAGTTTTTTGAGTCTCACTGTATATAATTTTGTATTATTCTAAATCTTTATTTTGAACTAAAATGTTATTGTGCGTAAGACTACTTGTTGCGCGCGTTATCCTGTCTGTTCAGTTGAAAGTGCGTGCACGGACTGGAGAAATTTCACATTACGCGCCTTTGATGTCTCTTGAAATGTAGATTTAATACACGTTTGCATTTCCTTTAAAATATACGCTTATCAGCTTGAATGCAGTTAAAAAATAAGAAATCTTAAATGGAATGCTCAGTGCTCACGTACTATTCAACAATTAAAGGGAGTGCTCAGTGCTCACGTACTATTCAACAATTAAAGGGAGTGCTCAGTGCTCACGTACTATTAAACAATTAAAGGGAGTGCTCAGTGCTCACGTACTATTCAACAATTAAAGGGAGTGCTCAGTGCTCACGTACTATTANCCCACCCCCTCTTCTCTTCAACCTTTCTTCTCAGTGCACCTTCGGTTTCACGTTTATACCATGGGAGTATGTATAAAAGCTTCTAGAGATAAACATTATATATATATTCTACTAGCTGAAATTTATACCATGGGAGTATGTATAAAAGCTCCTAGAGATACACATTAAGAAATATATATATTCTACTAGCTGAAGTTTATACCATGGGAGTATGTATAAGCTTCTAGAGATAAACATTATAAATATATATTCTGCCAGCGAAAGTTTATACCATGGGAGCATGTATAAAAGCTTCTAGAGATTAACACTATAAATATATATTCTACTAGCTGAAGTTTATACCATGGGAGTATGTAAAAGCTTCTAGAGATAAACATTATAAATATATATTCTACTAGCTGAAGTTTATACCATAGGAGTATGTATAAAAGCTTCTAGAGATACACATTAAGAAATATATATATTCTACTAGCTAAAGTTTATACCATGGAATTATGTATAAAAGCTCCTAGATATACACATTAAGAAATATATATTTTCTACTAGCTGAAGTTTATACCATAGAAGTATGTATAAGCTTCTAGAGATAAACATTATAAATATATATTCTACTAGCTGAAGTTTATACCATGAGAGTATGTATAAAAGCTTCTAGAGATAAACATTATATATATATATTCTACAAGCTGAAGTTTATACCATGGGAGTATGTATAAGCTTCTAGAGATAAACATTTAGAAATAATATATTCTACTAGCTAAAGTGCCTCGCGTTGCCCTTAAAAAAAAACATTCAATTATTTCGAATTTTAAAAAAAGGACATTTTAAAAAATCGATTTTTGAAAAAAAGCTTAGCCAATGCTTCCACCAAGGTACCCATGTGTTTCCATAACAAAATTTCAGCCAATTTGGTTCAGCAAACGGGTGAAACAAATTATTATATATACGAGCGAAGAGCTTTAATACATCTTTATATCACTGCAAACAATAGACAGAAGAAGATTACATGTATGCAACATCACTGCATGGTTCGGCTTTGTGACCTCGTATGTAGGTAGATAGGTAGGTAGGTAGGTAAGTAGGTAGGTAAGTTGGTAGGTAGGTAGGTAGGTAGGTAGGCAGGTAGGTAGGTAGGTAGGCAGGTAGGTAGGTAGGTTGGTAGGTAGGTAGGGAGGCAGGTAGGTAGGTAGATTGTTAGGTAGGTAGGTAGGTAGGTAGGTTGGTAGGTAGGTATGTAGGTAGGTAGGTAGGTAGGTAGGTAGGTAGGTAGGTAGGTAGGTAGGTAGGTAGGTAGGTAGGTAGCTAGATAGGTACACTTTCTTCCTATAGTGTGTCCCATGAAACATGACAGTTGCTGAATATTTTAAAATGTCTTCTTCCGTAATGTGTTAAGTTTTTTGATATCAAAGAGAATAATAATCAACATTATAACAGTTTTATTACAGCAAAATCGATCCCATCATCTATATATTGGAGTAAAAGATTTTTCTACCGAACTAAACTGCAAAAAAGTCTTTGAATCTAATCCAGTATTTGGAAGATGACATTCTAAACTATTCATCAACTGTCATGTTTCTTGGGACACCCTGTAGCTATAAAATACAAGGGCGACAATAAAATTATAAGGGACTTAGTGAGGTAAGGCCAAATCATTGTGACACTTTAAAGTCAAATCAGTCTTGAAAATGAAAATTGATGAAGGATTTCATAGCAGCCTGGATCTATGTGTACTGTGTAGCTACAGCTTGATTATGAAAATGTTTGTATCTCTATCTCCATTATTTACTCCAAGGATGATAGAACTGAATATTCACTGGTGTGGAAAGGTCCTAAACTACTTTTTAACCGTCTGAAAAACTTTCTTATTTGATGGGATGTTCGCGAAAAGATCAAATTAGAGTTTTAAGATGCAAGAAGCGCTTTTTTTTCTAAAAATAGAAATTATATATATTATATATTTGTTGACTTTTAAAAAAGTCAAAATTATACAAATAAAGAAATCAAGAAAATGGATATTCTATAACATTTATTTAAAGGAAAAAAAAACACAAATGTTTTGAAATAATTTACCAAGACAATGTTGTAAATTGGTTGGTTTAGAAATTAACAAAGGAAATTAAAGACAAACATCAGTAGCAACTTCATGTTGGTAATGTATAACTTCATATTGGTGGTGCAGATCAACTAGAACTGTAACAACAGGTTTCTGCTCTCTCAAGGTGTCGATTATTAAACTCATTAGAGTTGAGATTATCCTCTTGTGGAGGAGAGTTAGAACCCTTGGAACAGGGTGAGTATCCTCTTGTAGAGGAGAGTTAGAACCCTTGGAACAGGGTGAGTATCCTCTTGTAGAGGAGAGTTGAACCCTTGGAACAGGGTGAGTATCCTCTTGTAGAGGAGAATTAAAACCCTTGGAACAGGGTGAGAGATCGCGGTTTTATCAGTTTTGAATATGAGGGAATGCATCTCAATGTTCGCCTGATAATTTTGGAACTCTTGGAACAATGTTGAGCTGGATGTAAGCATCGTCTGTTGGTAGCTATAGGTATCTGCATCATCACTATGAAGGAGCCAGGATTGCTCCCTGAGACGGAGTTGTGATCATCTCCAGTGTTCTCCGCTGACTGAGTACCGGGAGGTGTAGAGAGGCAGGGGAAGCCGGGAGAACGGTATTGGTGTAAACTGACCCAAATTTTGATTTTGGGGCTATTTACATCTATAGGGGAGAACGAGGGTGACATGTGGAAGCTACTGCATGTAGGAAACGGATTCATGGGTTTATAGACAGTACAGCTGCATAAATATACTACATAGATTGTCGTCTTCCGTATATTTCGAATTTGTGTTAACAATATTATATTATATATTATATTATATATATATATGTTATTGGTAGGGTTTCCATACGGAATTCCGGGTTAAGGTTTACATACGGAAATGATCCGGATATTTTTTCCATTTCCATTATGGAAAAGGTTTTGGTAATCTGAAATACAGGAACAAAATCGGGAAATTTTTTTTTCCTGTAAACCGGAAATTTCTGGAATGTGGCGGAATATCATTTCGGAAAGTTTCCAGAAAAAGTTTTACTCATTGGTCAAAAATATTAGTGTGAATTGCGATAAGCGTACATGAGGGGGGGGTGGGTATTTATCCTCGTGCCCCACCTGAGCTTAATTGCCCCCCCCACCCTCCACCATTAAATGTTAAGGTATAAAGGGGGAGAACTACAGTGACTTTCAAACTTTGTAAATATGAATTTAACTAAAAAAAAATATTTTATA